AAGCAAAACAGACACCACTAGTTTTGTAACAGGGTCTGAATCTCTACTGAAAGGAACCTTTCTGGAATGGTAGATTTGTCTCTCTTACACCTTTGAACAGAGGAGGGATGCTGCAAAACTGAAGTGTATAACCCCGTTTCAGCGTCCTGTCCATCCACTCTGTTAATACACAGCTGTGCTTCCATTCCACATAACATTGTGTTAGGGGATGAGCAACCAGCTGGGGGGCCACAGCTAAGAAGCTGTGGTACTCCCTGGTGGCCCACTCTGCCGCAAAACTCCCCATGAAGGGAAGTTCTGCCCATGGGGGGCTGACACAGAAAGGGCCTCCGATTTTCTACTGAGGTCCCTGAACGCACCGCGGCACGCTCTCGTGGGGGGTGTTACGTGCTCCCCTCCTCTTTCTCTCCCTGTCTCCCTGCTGCACAGACACACCTGGTCCGCCCCTGGCTCCGCCTCCCCCAGGTGTCCTAATTACGTTCAGCTGGGGACTTGAAAAGCAGAAGCTGGAGGAGAAGAGTTCTCTTTCCCAATCTTGATGCCGGAAGACGTTGACCGTGGACTTCCTCCTTCTACTCGATCTCTAGTTCCGAGTGTTTTGTGTCTTTTGTACGCTGGAGTAACAGGTAGTCTAGGTTTTTCGCGGCTTTGTTTTCTCCCGTAGGATTTTGTTAGATTTCTGGGTAGCGGAGGGAAGCTCTGGGTCCTTCGGCCCGTGGTGTGGCTGGCCCAGGCCCCCTTTGTCCTTTTTGTTTGTTTCCTGTCCTCCAGCGCCCTTGTTCATTTGCCGGTTGGCCATGTGAGTACGGTTGTGTCACAATAAATGAACACTGTTAAATGCTGCGTGTTTGCTGTGTTTTATTTTGTGTTGCGGGTCTCCCCAACAAGTCTCTACCACTAGTAGAGGGCGGGTCGTAACACACGCCCTGGTGGATAGAAATTCAGAGGCTACTGACACTGGGGGGTTAGTTAGTCTGTCGACGGTAGCAAACCAGACACGTGCGTCGTTTTTATTTTTGGCAATGATATCAGAGAGGAAAGACTGTCGGGCAAATTTTAAATTCCAAATTATAAAGGTCAAGTCTCTCTTTTTAGATTTCAAAATGCACCTGGAGATTTGTTTTTCGCCACCTGCGTTCAGCTTTTCGACACACTTTTTTTCTCTGTTCTCACGGTCATGGCCTTTCTCCATGGAGATATTTTCCTCCCAGTCACTTCCTTTACCTTAAAGGTAAAGGAAGTGACTGGGAGGAAAATATCTCCATGGAGAAAGGCCATGACCGTGAGAACAGAGAAAAAAAGTGTGTCGAAAAGCTGAACGCAGGTGNAATAAAGAACTACGACAGATGTGTAATATCTAGTACAGCCGAACCATTTATTACAATGCTTTCATGTGATGACTTTCAAA